CTTAACACTTTTATAAACTTGCATTGAAGCGCAATAGAACGCTTATGGAGGACCTTGGGCTTTTATGCCGAATGTCCCGTCTTCTGCTCGTAATTCCTACGTTTGTGACCGTATGTCGCTCGGTAACAGCCTCTCAAGTAATATTTAGCCGAAGGCCTTTGACGATTTTATTGAATATATTTGTTTAACCTTTAAAATTTTGTATCTTTCTCTTGAGGGAAAATAATACGAACTTCATTGACCTGAGGGAGGGAACATAACGTTAGACTATCGTGGACAGATTACATACATTCAGGGCGAATTCTTACATCGTTAGGTATATGCTCCTTATCTGATCTCACTGTGGAAATTATTATTATATCGCGTTCCTAAAAAAAACCAAGCGAAAGCAACACTAGTATTAATTCCAACATTAGTGTAAATTTACGAAGGTTATACCTGTCCTTGGAATCCCTCCACAGAACTAATCTTTTAACTTGTGGCAATTGCATTATTTATCGACTCATTAAGTAACTAACGACAGTAATGGCAATTATAATATGAAATTAGGGGATACTTGCCGAAGGATTGTATTTGTTAAATGTATTTTAAATAACTGAAAAGGCACAAAAGCAGTTGTTTTCAATGTCTTGCAATAATTTAAACTATTAAATTGCCTGGTGTTACGTCGATCATTGCTGCTGCTGGTTGTGCTGAAATGTTGAGCAAACTCTTTTTTTTTTTATATATCACTGATATCTTGGATCAAGTTAAGAGTAGTTGCAATGAACAATATGTGTCTTTCAGCTGAGTTGATTAGATTTTATTTGCTGATCGTTTGCGCTTTGTCAATGACAGTGCCGGTGTATGAACACGTACGGAAACATTGATGATATTCAATTGATTACAAGCATTAGAGAGTTAAGAGTTAATTAGGCAATTGGAATACAAAGCAAAAAAAGAAGAAAGAATAAATTTAGTTATCTTTTACAAATTTTAAATTTTTTGTTTCGCCCCAACAACAAATTTATTATGGAATTTTGTTTTATTTTCAATATGCAGCGTGTTTCTTGTAAAAACACAACTCGAGACAACCTATACTAACTCTGAAAAAAAAATACTAGCGCAAAGCAAGGGCTATTTTGCTTACGCCTGATGTTACACATACGGAAGAGCGTTTTTCGTGTCTTTTGTGTATACATATGCCAAAAGCAACTCAATAATCGAAAACGGTAACGCCATACATCAAATCATCGGCAAATACCGCTTCTGTTTCGATTGATTCGACTAGCGTATCTACTGCAAATAACAAAAAGCAGAACCTTTCATGAGCCGACACGCCGGTTTGTCGTTCGATTCTTGCAATGCAAAGAAGGAAAGACCCCTTAACCAGACTTGGGGCTAGCAATGTCAATGTGAATTAGTTCCGTTGCGAATCGCGGCGCCATGAAAATCGATATTTTTAAGTTGAGAAGCTGCGGATACATCCATAGATAACACTTTGCAATATATTTATATTAAAAAACCGAATGAACCAAAACGGAGTATCAGCGTATTTAAATTTTATTACGAGTGACTACGCGAGGTTGGGCCCTTTAAAATATCGCTGCCGTAATCTTATGCCGAGGGACTACTATCTAGGGACTTCTCACACTTGTGACACTATATAGAATACATGCTGCCTTGATACGCCTTCATACACGTTTCTCTGCGTTACTTTCTACTGAAGATTCCTTAAAATATTTTTTAACTCAAGCCTTAGCTTTTTCTATTCTTTTATTTTTTAAAATTATAATTTAAATGAAATTATAATTTCATCTGCTTTATTACTGAAAAGAGGATTAGCTCCATTTCATTTTTGATTTCCGAATAAATTCTCTTCTCCTATTAACTTGACAAAAATAAGCTCCTTTAATGTAATATAAGCAAACTGTTACCTCGGGGTGTCATTGGATTGGGGATCAATCAATCAAGGTCAATGTTTGAATCGTAATAATATTCTTTACCGGTTTCGAAGGATAGGCTCATAATGCTTTCAGCTTTTATATCCTTAAGAATTTGAGACGTTGTTTGCGGAGCAGCGTTTTTTTGACAGGATATATCATCTGCGCTTATATCAGCTTCTACCACTTCGTCATCCTTTTCTTCGTGAGAGATTTCAATTACTGATTCATCTAATTTGTCACCAATACAGTTAACACATTTACAAAAACTATAGAAATTTTTTGTATTTCGTTTGCTTGCCACTAATTTATTGATCACTTTGGTCATATAAAACAATAACCTACCTTTTTCCATTATATAATAGCCTTTTTGGGGCCAATTTTGCTTAAGGTCTTTTGTATTTTCTCCCAATACCACTCCTTCTACTTTTTGCCCTAAATAATTTTTTTTTTTTTTTTTGTGGTCGCTTATTCTCAGATGTGTGGAATTTTTATACAAATTATTGAGAATCATAGACGCTTACTTTCAGTTGGCGGCAAATTTGTTTACTCTTTCTCTTATTGAGATAATTTGTTTGGCAATTTTACTACGTACACAAAGTTACAATTTAAAGATGAGTTCCAGATAATGAGTTGAAATTTTCTGAACTAACCGGCGATTTAAGACTAAGAATTTGACTTTAAGTACTATTATCTAAAGCGAAGGTACGCACAAATATTAAAAAAAAAGAATATAAAATAAATATCTCTCCTATACAGGCATTAAATGCATAAACGGAAAAATTGAAAGCATTATTTTCTCCGGTTGATAAGGCAAACCGCAGATTGAACGTAATAAGTTAAAAGTTTTGTGAAAATTATGTACACGTTTGCTTACAAAAATGCAGCCAACCATACAAATAATAAAAATAAAACTTAAAAGTATAGAGTTGTTTACGAATAAGTCAAGTTGTTTTCATTAGCAATTGGTGTTGATTGCGAAGCGTTCCAATCAATAAAATGGAAACTTAACTACAAATTAAGAAAGTAATAGCAACTCCTAACATAAGAACATATACGCACACCTACACAGAATAAATTTTTGTGAAAAATATTGAAATAAAGAGGTAGAAATGCTATAGTCAGGCAAGAACGACTTTTTTATACCCTAGGCTAATTTTCCTAACACACTTATTCACCCATTTACTTAACAATGCATAGAACATTATATATTATTGTTACGTGAATGCGTAATTTTTTTGAAAGCCTATAGAACGATCAAAAAAATTAATATATGGTATGCAAATTCCCTATGGTTGATGTACTATGTTATGCCATCACCAGTTTTATCATAAAATATTTAAAACTAGGCCTTTTGGTCTTTTCTCATTTTTCCTTAGAACCTTTATATGGGCTCGGTTCCAAAACACAGACCTACGTGGCCCAAATTCGATAATGTTAGTGGACCATTAACTTTTGTGTCACTTTTTTATTAAGAAAGAATTTTCATCAAGAAGCGCAGAAAGTTGGGTCTTCTTACCGTATAAAGATTCAGTTTTAGTAGAAAAGCTTAAATTAAGAATGATTCAAAAATTGCCTCATCAGGTTGAAAGTTTTCGCACTGATTTAGAACTATTTTCCCATATAACGAATTATCGAAATGGGACGTTGTAGGAGGATGGCTTATAGGAACGGTCGAAAGACCGTTATTCAAACCCTTTTTAATAGCATTCGTCCTTAGGCAAAAACACGTTAATGTATCAGGTTTCATCAGAATATGTTTTTTTTTCTTGTTTTGAATATTTCTTGCCTTCTCTCCTTTTTATATATATATAAGCATGTAAATATGTAACAATTCTTGCTCTTGAAATGATTTGTTAAACTGGTTTTGTTGTTTTTTTTTTTTATTACTTCTATTCTTACTTATCAGTTGTTCTTTATTTATTACAAATATAATTACTATAACTTATCTTACTATAACATATCTTGTGTATAGTTATGATCAACTTTCTTTATTAAAATTTTTAACCATTTATTTTACCTTTTTAGTATATAAGTTTGAAACAGTTTTTAAAAACCACATTGATTTGTAGACTTGGAAAATTTTGTCAGTATATTTAGAGATATAACCAATTTTCAATTCTTTCAAAGAGATATTCAATTTGATTTTAATTAAGCTTTTTCCAATTACCCTTTTTTTTCTTGTTCACTACCTTCAATCTCGAATGTTTTGATTTGTTGTTTTCCTTGCTTCCTTGAAAGAAAACCTGCAAGGACCCTCTTTTCTTTGTTAATCTATATTTCTGTATACTATCTAATTTATTTTTTTTACATGTTGACTCGCTGCTTTTTGGACATTTTTTACTGTCTCTTATGGTCATTCATTCCCTAAATTTTAATTCTTATATAGAGTGCAACAAATATTCTGTTTAACATAACACTTGCTTCCTTAAAAATATATATAACTTTAAAGTTGACCGACCTTTCATGGCACATCTCTTAAATAGAGAATAAAAATAGCTTGCCGTTAGTAAATTCTTGGCTTAAAATTTGTGAGCCAATAGACATAAAAAGGATGATTCTAAGGCGAAATGAGGACTAAGGAGGAATAAACTAATATCTTTATGTATATCAGTTTGCGGTATACGCTGCTAAGTCGAATCTTAGATATCCACAATACTTCATGTATTACGTATTATATATTGCGCTTCTTTGTATTCCCTAATATATAAATTAGAAAAATATTCGCTGAGAATTTTTTTAATTTTGGTGGTGAAGCTAAATTTATTCCGTCGTAAGAAGTCCTTTACCGTAAAAGCTTACATCATTCAAAATGTCATAAATTCAAATCTTTATGCAATGTTTGGCAAAAAAAATGTTGGACCATGGTATCGAATTGATAATAAAGACCAGACTTTAACGCTCTCAAGAACAATATTTATGCTGTTAGTCCACTATCCAAGATGTGATGGTTCAACCATAAATTTACCTGCTGAAGTCCCATAATTCAAATTCTGTAAAGGACAAAGTGTGTTGACGGTTTATTGTTTCTATCCGAAACTTTAAATTTTTTAGTCTTTTGAAAAATCTAAATTTGGGAATAAAATAATTTTCCATGATAGAAGCAAATTTGCAAGGTGCATACATTACGGTTGCCTTGCTAAATGTAACAATTTTCAAAATTTTAATTTATTTTCAATAACACCGATTTAATTGCTATTATAGTTTTGAAAATCAAATTTTGGATGCTTGCGTTAATTTCGGTCATTTTTTCACAAGAAAAGTCATTTATATATTAACATTTATTAATGAAAATATTTTCCTTTATTTCTACAACTTTTACCAACCTTCTGGCAACATGGACCCATTTTGGCACTTCTCCAAATTTGAGTAGCTGCGTGCCAGTCAAGCCATCCTGCATCGATCTGACCGATTGGCAATCAGAAGGCGCCATTTCTGGTGAATACGTTGTGTGTAGCGCAACTTCCCATTCGAGCTACAACACTTTATGTTTGACAGGAATTGCAACAAGTGGTCAAAATGGCGTTCTCAGTCAATTTGTGTTGTAGGCGCTATTGTTGGTCTTTTTTGTAACAATTCATCATTCAATTAGTTTAATTGACGGCAATAGCTATCTGCAGTCAAGTTCCAATCGGTTTTAGGAGCACCTTGCGATGGCCATGAATATGTC